TTTTTAATCTATTCAAATTAGTCAACTAACATTTATATTAAAGACTGGAGGTAGTATTATATATATATATATATATATTAAGAAGAAGACAATTTATTGAAATTAAATAAGGCAAAATGATACACACAGTTGGGTTTCTCTGCATCAAAAGACAAACGTAAACTTAATATTACAACGAAGCCCAATCGAGTTAAAACAAAAAAGAAAAACTGAACCCCATAAAAACAGAAAACAACGACCACAACTAAATAAAGACGGGAACGAAAGAAAAAGGCTACAGTGCAACGAAAATGATAGTATTGGCAGCAAGAAGAAACACTCAATGGTCTAATAATGTTGGCTGGAACACGTCATTCCCTAAAAAAGGGTATCCATACATTTAATTCATTTCATAGGGGTCCCATCGTGATATATCTTTCATTAAAATCACGTGCATTGTTTTTTCCAAGTTAATTAATAAATTAATATCATATGGCTGCCCATTAAATTATATTAACGTCATTAATATACCTCTGATGCTAACGTTTAACTAGAAATCAACCATACGATTTGTCACTTTATAATTGTGTGTAAAGATCAACAATTTGAACCATTCGCAGTGATTATTAACTCCGTAGTCGTAATAATAATAATAAAATTAGCCAGATACAATGCAATGTTTTGTCTAGTTTAAAATTCATGTAGTTCTAACGAAATTTTAAATAAATTTTTCTAAGAAATATATATGTGTGAGGGGAGTATGATTTTGGGAGAATTATAATAAGATCAAAAAAATAATAATAATTACCAGTAAATCTTAATGACAAGTAAACATTTATTATTTATTACCTTGAAACTTGTCATTACAAGTTGCTTTATTGTCATTGAGATTTTTTTTTAGTAATTACATTCCTTGAGACTTTATAACAATAATTCTCGCTATATTTTCGATTAAAGAAAGAAAATGTCTTACGTCAAATTTTTCACTGTGTGCGTGAGTGGCAAGGAGCAATATGATCAGGTTGGACCAAAAAAAAGAGAGAAAAAAAAGAAAAAGAGCAATATGATCTGTTATAAAGACAGCATTGTTTTCAGCATATGATCTGCTATAAAGACAGCACTGTTTTCAGGAAAGTCCCATGACTGTAAATTATTTTCAGTATCAGGTCAAATAAAAAATTATTTTGCTAGGCACAAATATTCCCGATAGAAGCAATTTTTTTTAAGGCACTATTAATTATTAAATATGCGGGCACTTTTACATTAATATTAAAAGTCAAACACAATAGACAAAAAATTAACTTTCATTGAACAAACATATTCTTAAAATTCAGACGTATTGGCCTTCATAGTTCATATTACCTCTGGTCCTTAATATAAGTGTTACTTGACTAATTTAAATAGATTAAGAAGGTTTGTTAAATTAGTTACTTGTAATAAATAAGTGTTATTTTTTCTAAAATACTCTTGCTAATCATATATATTAACCAGAACTATTATTTGATGAAATACTTAACATATGCAACTATTACACGAATTATATTAAAAAAATAAATAAATATAAGAGACAAAATAAATTGACGTCTCACCCAACAATATTTCTCTTTGTTTGCACATGAAACGTGGTCAATATTGCAATTCTGAACTTTCTTCCTTTGTTTTAATCCCATAACAAATCAATATAAAAGATCTCATAAATGTATATGAAAATGTATTTAATTATATAAATATTATCGTTGATTTTTAATATACTAGTTAGTCTTTAATTTAATTTAATTATTAAACACTAGAGTTAGCATTTGGTATGTAAGGATGCGAGCCCTCGCGCATCGGCATCGGCATCTCAATAATTTTAATGGGCTAAGCCCAATCCACTGAGGATTAATCATGCCTAACCCTAACACAAGAAAATAAACAAAATAGACTTTTACAAAAGAAAATGAACCTATTTATGAGTTTCAAATTTAGAATTTTTTTAAAATAAAAATATAGTTTTCACTTATTTATTATTTTCAGTAATTTTAACTAATCTTTTCATCAATTAACTATTTGAAGTTTATCATAACATCAAAGAAAGCATAACAAAGCTTGAAAGAAAAAAAAAAATAGAGAGAAAGAGACGCTCATGAATACTTGGTGGGAGAAAATTAATTTCTCATTGGACAGACGAGCTACGAATCAGCTTGATGGGAAATATCATCTTCTGTGGTTAACAAGACTCTATTTTGAGTCAATACCACTACTCTAGCTTTGCCCTTTATTTATTTGAATTATTATTTAGAATATGTTTTTTTTTAATTTTTGAGTGGAAAACAATAGAATATCTTTGAGAGAATCGTTGGATCAATGTAAAATATAAACGTTTCTTTTTTAGATGAAAAAAGTTTAGGTGAATTTGATCTTGAAACTCACTAGGATTAGAATATGATTTTAAACTCATAGAGTGCTTATAGAGTTATTTACACATTGCTCGTTAAGAAATTCCTCATATTGTCAATGGGATTTAAATTTATGAGTTTGAAAATTATAAGTCGACTCTTCATCAAGTAGACTAACTCTTGTTAGCAAAATGTAAACATTGCTAATACATATTGTCACCATCAAAAGCCTTTCCTCGGCAAACACAAAATATCAATCCATCTCAAAGCACTTTCGCTCTTTGCGGCTCAGCAATTTTCGTACGTCCAACTTCCTTCTCAGTTTTCACACGTTGAAAGCAGACACTACTCAACTTCCTTCTCTATTATATGATGTGAGACCTGCCTAAATTTTTATGCCTTGACTCCTAATTAACTTCTCAGCTTATATATATAAACTTCAAAATCATAAATTTGAGTTTATTATGGGTTAAGTAAAAATATTAAATATTTTTAAAAAGAATTCTTAATTCAAAATATGTCGAAGGTTGAGTTTCATTTGGACGTTCAAAAAACTTTAAAATATTACAATCTAGTGATAGAGAGAGTCAGTGTATGTTACTATTACAGAATTACAAATATTTGACACCAAATACTTGACTGTTATAATAAAAACTGTCAAATAAGTGAGGTAGAATTTGGCCAAACAAAAATTGACAATTTTTAAAGGAACCGTCAATTATTGTTTGAGAACACTTGACGGTTCTAAAAGGAACTATCAAGTATGCACCACAAAAATTTGATGGTTTCTTTGAAAACCGTCAAGTTTAGGAATATTTGATGGTTTTTCAATATAACTGTCAATTATTTGTTAAGCATACTTGACTGTTATATTGAAAAACCGTTGAGTATTGTGTTTTAAAACTTCTAATCTATTTCATTTCACTTGACCTCATTTTAAAATTTCAGACGCCCTTCTGTTTCGCACGCTTTGCCCAAACTTTCTAGCCCTCTAATCTGCCATTCCCACATTATTTTCGATCTTTCCCTGTTGTTTTTGTGTTACCTCCTCCATCATCGTTGCTCTTTGTGGTCCTCCTCCATCATTATCACGTCGTCGCATTGTGTGGTCCTCCTCCATCATTATCACGTTGTCGCGCTCTATGGTCGTCCTCCATCACCGTCGCGCTATGTGGTTTCCGTCGTTTTCTACAAACTAAACATGCATGTGCAAAACATTTCTTTTTTTGTGGAGAATGTAATTAATCGCATTTGCGTCCTTGGATTTATTACTTTTGCAAAAAAAAAAGTAAATTAAATTACTATTTAATTTAAATTCAAATTTTTTTTTAACAAAGATCATTTAAGCCAAAAGAGAAGGACTTCTCTATTGAGTTTTCAATCCTCAAGTTTATTTTAGGACATTGAGTTATTTTCATTCATCTAAATATCATTAATTAAAAATATATTTTAAAATTTAGGTCTTAAACATGTTGATGACAATTTCAACAACATAATTAATTTTTTTAATTTAATTTACTAAAAAATTTTTTTGCAAAAGTAATAAATCCAAGGACGCAAATGCGATTAATTACATTCTCCACAAAAAAAGAAATGTTTTGCACATGCATGTTTAGTTTGTAGAAAACAATGGAAGGAGGGTCCCCCTATTTGCCCCACTTTCGATTAATAAAATGATATTTTTAAAAATTTTAATTGCAAAAATAAAAAAAAGATAATAATTATATTTTATTGTAACTAATGGTCATCCTCCATCATTGTCGCGACGTGTTCTTCATATTTAATAGCTTCAAGTTGATTGTGTTCTTCTTTAATTTGGGTGTCAACTACAACCACATACAATTTTTAGCTAATCATTATTGTTATTAATATTTAAAAAAATATCCTATTCAACGATATATTGGTTCAGCCCTGAAATATTTGTATTTACTACTCATATGATATATATAAAATACTAAATGTAATAAAAAGGATTTTAATAACATATTAGCTAGCCAGAAAAAATTAATTATGTTGTTGAAATTGTCATCAACATGTTTAAGACCTAAATTTTAAAATATATTTTTAATTAATGATATTTAGATGAATGAAAATAACTCAATGTCGTCCTAAAATAAACTTGAGGATTGAAAACTCTTAATAGAGAAGTCCTTCTCGTTTGGCTTAAATTATCTCTGTTAAAAAACTATTTGAATTTAAATTAAATAGTAATTTAATTTACTAAATTTTTTTTTTGCAAAAGTAATAAATCCAAGGACGCAAATGCGATTAATTACATTCTCCACAAAAAAAAGAAATGTTTTGCACATGCATGTTTAGTTTGTAGAAAACGACGGAAGGAGGGCCTCCCCTATTTGCCCCACTTTCGATTAATAAAATGATATTTTAAAAAATTTTAATTGCAAAAATAAAAAAAGATAATAATTATATTTTATGGTTTTTTTTTTAAATACGAATGGTATTGTGGTAATTTAATTTACCCTTTTTGTTAGCTTTCCCATCAACTCATCAATTTCACCCAATGATCGAACATAAATTTGTCCGTATAGATGTGGCTGGTGACTCCTATAAATGTGGCTGAGCATCTAGAAACATTAATCAACTAGATATTTATCATCATCTTCTTCCATGGAACTGATCAGTATGAAATCCTCCATTCTCTCCTTCCATCCCAGATTGCCTGTCACAAAAGCAGAACTTTCTGACAGATCCTCCTCCTTCAAACTCAATTCTCTGCCTGCTGCTTACAAATGGATCATCACCGAGAAAAGCCCTTCTACACCTTTGAGAAACTTTGTAAGTAGTGAAAAACTTTTATTTCTATATGTTCTACGCCTCCTGTTTTCTGGAGCTTTTCTGCATGAATAACTTTGTTCCATGGCAGGATCACCTCTGCCATAATCTGGAAGGAGAGCTGAAACTGTACAAGAACGTTCTTAAGAATGTGGGTGAACATTCAGTGAAAGGCTTGTACATGGTTGATGCTCTGCAACGCCTGAACATCGATTGCCACTTCCAAGAAGAAATTGAGGAATTTCTAGCAACTCAACTCACGATTTTCAGCACTTGTCAAAGTGACTATGGTCATGATGATCTTCATCAGGTTTCTCTTCTCTTCCGCCTTCTGAGACAGCAAGGTCATTCTGTACCTGCAGGTGGGGACCGATACTGCAAAAACAGCAACATATCATGTTATATTGTTTTTACCGAAAGATTGATAAAATAGTTTTCTTTTTGTCGAGTTGCAGAGGTGTTTGAGAAGTTTATAGCAAAGGAGGGGAACTTTAGCAGCAAGGTAAGTGGATGTGTCAAGGGAATGATAGAACTATATGAAGCTTCACAGCTAAAAATGCCCGAAGAAGCCATACTTGATGAAGCTGAACAGTTTAGCGGGAAGATGCTGAAGGAAATAAGTGCCTACATTGGTGTTGATAAAGCTGAGTTTGTGAGGAGTACTTTGGAGCAACCATTTCACAAAAGTCTGCCAATTTTCACCTCCAGAAGCTTGTTTCAAGGCACTCAAGGCATGAATGGATGGCTCAATGCCTTACAAGATGTGGCCAAGATGAACTTCAATATACTCCAATCTGCATACCAAATGGAGATCCTTCATATTTCTAAGTGTGCTTCTGAAATACTTCAAATTAAGAGTTTATTTTACCATTAAATATTTGTCAAGATGTATATATTTTATTTTTATTTTCAGATGGTGGACTGAACTTGGATTAGCGAACGAGTTGAAGTATGCTAGAAACCAACCGCTGAAATGGTACATTTGGTCACTTGGATGCTTAACAGATCCATCTTTGTCAGAAGAAAGGATGGAGCTCACAAAACCAATTTCCTTCATCTACCTAATAGACGACATTTTTTATATATATGGGACCCTTGAAGAACTAACTCTTTTCACAAAAGCTGTTACTATGTACACTTAGCCTTCCTTCAAATATTGCTGCTACAAGTTAAAGATCCCAGATAGTGATCCTGTTTGAATATATACAGATGGGATATTGAAGCTGCAGAAGAGCTACCCGATTACATGAAGATATGCTTTAAGGCACTCCATGATCTCACCAATGAAATCAGCTACAAAGTGTATCTGAAGCATGGACGGGACCCCAGTATGTCCCTCCGAAAAGCGGTAAGTATATATATATTCAGAATTATCACAGTTTTACTGTTATGATTCAAATGTTTGAAACATTAGTTGTTCACTGGTTTTGTTTTTACTTGGTGCAGTGGGGGAGATTGTGTGAAGCATTTCTGATAGAAGCAGAATGGTTTGCTTCAGGGAAGATACCCTGTGCAGAAGAATACTTGAAGAATGGGATAGTAAGCTCAGGGGTGCATATAGTAATGGTTCACATTTTCTTTCTGTTAGGCCAATCAATCACCAACGAATCAGTGCAGAAAATAGACAACACTCCAACCATCATCTCTTCCACTGCAACAATTCTTCGTCTCTGGGATGACTTGGGAACTGCTGAGGTAAACATTATCTTCACAAATCAACGTTCAAACAGTACTTTATCTCTTAATTAATACGACAGAAATATCAGTTCAAATGCTGTTACGCTAAAAGGAAAAAGACGCATGGTTAGAGAAGAGTTAGCTAGGTATGATCAATGATGTGAATGAAGAGGCGTTAGTTAATTAATTTGCAGGACGAGAATCAGGAAGGGAAGGATGGATCATATATGGAATGCCTGAAGAAGGAGATAAGGAACAAGGAAATGGCAAGAGAGGTGGTGGCGGCTAAGATCTCAGATGCGTGGAAGAGTCTGAACAGAGAGTTCATAATGGACAGCTCATTTTCTTCAGCCTTCAAGAAAGCATCTCTCAATCTGGCGAGGATGGTGCCACTGATGTACAGTTACGATCACAATCAATGCCTTCCCAAACTAGAGGCCGAAGTCAAGTCGTTGCTTTATGATCAGGTTCCTCTGTGATTATGGTTCCCACAAACTTCCTTTTCAAATGCAAGAATGCGATAAAACAAGTCATACTCATATTAGGGCTTAGATTCTCTCTCTCTGCGTCTATGTGCATGGAAGAGCCAAGAGTGATGTTGTATGAAAGAGAACCTTCACGTGCGTATTACGTCGGAGGCCTCATAGATACACAGTGGGTGGACCAGCGAGCACGCATGAGAAAAATTTATTGTGCGTATTATGAATAGTTTTATTTGTGTTGAAAAAGGAAGCATCTCTTTCATTTAAATTTTAAACAGAGACATATGAGCCATATGGCAGTTCTAGCCAGCCTGGGTAGCATCCGGAAGCAAAATGAGTAAAAGTAATTTTTTTCAGGAAGTTAATTGTGTAATTAAATCACAAAGAGGCTATGATTATATGTTACTGAAGATAAGCCTACGGTGATGGATCATTAAATATATTATGAATCTCACTAAAATGATTGGCAATAAGATATCCTAATGTTATCTGTTGACACTGAGGAACACTCGTACGTCTGATTACAAGCCTGGACCACAAGTTTCATCAAAAGATCATGTACCCTGATGTAATATTTGGTTTTAAAACATAGAATTTATGTATTTTTAGCACAAAATAGAAAATAAAAATATAAGTTACTATTACCCATATTGAATGTACCTATATTTATTTTCAATTTTCAATTTGGTATTTGTGTGTTTTTTCTTTTTATTAAATTTTTAATTTTACTCTATTAACATTGTTAATCCTTTGCATGGAGACTAAAAATACTAATAGAACAAAATTACAAGATTTAATATTGCTCAAAAGGTAAATTTAAATAACTTAATTAAAGAAAAAAACACATAAATATTAAATTACAATTTTTTTAAAAAAAATATCGGTACCTCCAAATATGTTTTTTGTTCTTTCTTAAAATATCTACGTAGGCCCAAATGAAATTTGATGTCTGAAGTCAAGATTCCCGGACCCTCCATATCCAGGTGTCCCACTTCCAACTCGCCATAACGGAGATGTATTTTTTTCCCACCAACCATAAATGGGAATACATTTAATTTATTTTACAAATGCCTCGACTTGAATTCAAACATTTAAAACATGGAGCCTATCAACAAGCCTGAGGGGGTGTTTGGCAATATGATAAAACCATGATTTTAAGACCAAACCACGGTTTGGGTCTCAAATTTACCAAACAGGAAGGAAAATTAATAAACTGCAGTTTCAAGCTAAATAGTCCTGGACTTAAAACCATGGTTTCAAGAAAAGTAAATCCATTTTGCTTCTGGCTTAAATTAAAGAGTATGATTGTGCCTGTCAGAATAGATCTCAACGATAATATGACTTTAACACCCCTCAATTATTTTTTTATAAACATATTTTATAAATATATACACATATTAATTATTAATTATATTATCTTATGTATTATTATTATGTTGGTAAAAAAATATATTATTAACAATTTTATTCTGTCAAATTAAAATATATCATAAAATTTATCTTTTATGTAATTATCATATTAGCTTATGCCTTTTTTAGTAATTTGTACACATAAAAAGTGCTTCTGATAACAATTATCCAAACACTCATTTCTCAGAATCACTCTATTTTTTCAAGAATCTATTTTCCAGAAGCTATTCTCCAAACTATGGTTTGGTTTCATCCAAACACCTCTTGAGTGTTAGACGACAATTCATATTATTGTTTTCCCAAGTATATAGTTACGATTTTATAATTGTATTCCAAAGGCAATTGAATGTTGACCTATAAAGGAACAGCAAAGAGGTAGTTAAAAATAAGGACGTTAAGATGGTTGTTAAGATGGATGTCTGATGTAACATAACAAAAAAAAAACACCACCCCACCTTTTTCCACCGATAGTGGAAAAAGGAGGGGGTTATTAATGAACATAGAAGAAAAAAAAACAGAGAGAGGGGCGGCTGAAGAAAATGGGATGAGAGGTAGTAAGTGTAAGTTGAAAAGAAGGAAGGAGTATTAAATAGAGGAAGGAAAAGAAGGAAAGGAACGGATGAGGGAAGACCTTTTGGAGAAACAATAAATGAATGAAGAAAATGGGAGAAGGGATAGTTGGAAGTTGGAGAAGTGAGTTTAAAAGAGAAGGAGGGGAGACGGAAGAGGAAGAGAGAACGAAGGGAGAGGAAAAGAGAGAGAAAGCTAAATTGCAGAGTACCTGACGGTTTTGGAGATCATTTAGGTACACAAAACTACTTCTTGTTATCATATTTTCTTTATGAATATTTCCTATATATTTATATCTTTATATTATTAGTTTCATTATCATGTTTAGAGAAAATTTTACTGTTTGGGTATAGAGTAAATATGGAGTTTTGACAATATATGACCGTAGAAATTTAAAAATACATTATTAAGGAATTTTAATCGGTTTATTTTTGTTGAATGATTATTTTGAGAATTTTAAACTAAGATTTTAGTTGAAAAGTTTGTTATTTAGACTTGTAATATGTTTTTACTGATTAAATTTGAGTTAAATAATTTATATGAGCTATTTAATATATTATTGAGGTTTTAATCGGTTTAAATATTGAATAAGTTAGAGGTATATTTTTAAAATAATTTTTGAAGGCTTGAAAAATTGTAAATTGAGTTTTGTGAAATTAGATAAAGCTACAGTTTGTTTATAATTTAAAAAGAAGTTGTTTGGTTTGAGGAAAAATTTTAAATGAGATTATAATAAATAATTGAGAATTTTAATATAAAATATTTAGATTTTGAGTAATAAAAATATATATACTCTTGTTAAATTTAAATAGCCTTTTTATATAAGTTATATTTTTCAAAATAATATTATATCTATTATAAATGCCTAGATTTGGGAGAGTTAATATATTTATGTAATTTTGGTTTAGAGGGTAGTCTTAGAATTTTAGAGTAGCTTTGGAGTAGTTTTAAGTTTATGTTAATAAATATTTATGTGCAATTTTGTAGACTTGAGGATTTTGGAGTAACCTTTGTGTGAATATTTGTAAGCTAAAGAGTACCAGGTAACTCTGAAAATTCTTTCTTGTACATGTGAATTGTGTATGATTATATTGTGGATTTACTAATTATTATATTCCTGAAATATAATATTATGATTTTTGTAAAATAAATGTTTTGGTATGTTACATGATTTTATTAAGATTTGTTGCTAGTAATTATGATCAATATTTAAATATATTAATAGCTATGAAATTATCATGAATTGCTATTAAATGGTATATAAGTTTTGTTGCTATCTTATTTTTAATATATTTGAGGAAGTATTTATGATGTAACATTGTTGGCATCTGACATGCATTGTTGGGCTAAGGATAGAAGGAGATTGCATGGATATAAAATTACCACGTGGTATGCCATCACTCGGTGCACAGTGGATGACACTTGTCAGGGCCCCTTCTTCCATGTCTTCCTTTGGCCGGGAATTCATTGGAGCTGTGGGACATGTGACACCTCCCTATTCACAAAGGAGGGGAGCCATAGTCCGAGCTTGAGCTCTATATCTTTGGCCGGATATATCTCTTGTATCGGTGAGCTTGGAATAATTCAGTAAAATGGATTAGTTCCTATCGGATTATGTGTTAGCCTATGGCTCCAGTCAGCGGTATAAGGGTGGACGGTGATATAAGGGAGGCATCATATTGCATTATTTTTGGATATATTAGAAAAATGATATTGGTATATTGTTGGGAAAAAAAAATGAAATTGAATTGGATGTCTCAAATCCGTGATTTTTAATATATTTATACACACATATAAACGGATTTTTGGTTTATCATATATGATTTGCTTGTATAGGTTAGAATTTCAGTAGTTACTGAGACGTTAGATCTCATCCCCTATATTAACAATTTTTCAGGCGAAGGATCTAGTAGGAATCAAGGGAAGGCACCAATGGAGTGAGCCGTGAAGGCTTCTGTGCTCCTCAAGCACATGCTATGTTATATTTTTATTTGCCATGACTATAAGACTTTAATAGTTTATGTTGTTAAGTTATGTTAGAAATGTTTTGAAATTTTAACTTAATTGCAGTATTAAAAATATGTATGGACTTTTAAATTAAATATTTTATTGCGTATATTGATATAATTATATGAGGTGTTACATCTGATCATGTGAAAAAATATAAAATTCATAATAAATATATATAGAAACGAGTTGGTGTAACATTATTGAAGAAAAATGATAAAAAAAATTATTAAAGGTAATTTGAACAAATATATAAAAAGGGTCATTAGAGATACTAGAAGCAAGAATGATAGATTAGAGTTGATGATGCTGCAATCAACAACTATGGTGAAGTTGAAGAGAAAAATAGGTAAATGACTCGTCTTGTTCGTTTGTTTTCCATTATCTCTACTTGGTCAAAGTAGATACAATTCTTAAAAATGTCTGGCGTGAAGGGTTGAATATGATAGGGCCAAGAAGCTTTCTGATCGTTCAGTGCAGACCCATTATTTAAAAGAGACTGAGGATGCTCATCAACGGGATGCAAGAAAACCTGAAAGGAGCGATCAGTGGGTTGATGATGAGAGAACGCAGAGGAGGAATTTGCACGGTGATAATCGGATAAGCATGACAGCGACTGACCGGAAACCTTCACCTGAGATGTGGCGTAAGCCTGCTGAGCGGAGAAAATCTTCCGATGCTGTTGATCCACAGTGTGTTAAAGCTACTTCAGCGGTTGAACTTGCTCAAGCTTTCTCTCGATCCAAGTCAGATCCAAAAGTCAATGATAGATTGCCAAGTTAGAGGGGGTATACTGGGCGTGCACAGCAGCCATTTTCACGCCCTGTTGGTCCAACCCCGAAGCCTTCTTCCAATGATGAAATGTTTCATTTGGCATATGTACATGCAAGTTGTGGTTTCTGGAGCACTCAATGGAGTGGTTGTGGGTTATTTCTTGCTCCTTACCTAAAGAAGAAATTGAATACCCCGCCCCTTTTGACTCCATTCAGCTATCTTCTCCCACAACTCTGCCTGCAAAGCATGTTAGCTACCCAAGTTCTGATCTGCCGAGATAAAAGAATTCTCAGCTCTGGCTTTACATATGCTGCAACTAAAGTTCCAAATCTTCCCGCATCAACAAGTTGTCACTGTTCACACTAGTTACCCTTCGTCTTCTCCCAAACCAACTAGCCCTGTCATTACTCCGCACCCTTACGACATCGTTTGTATAGACTACGCATTTAATCATCGTCTTGCTACTTTATTAATGTTCTGCTCTTGCTCCAACAGGCAAAAGCAGTTGTTGAACTTTTATAGAATCAAAACACGTAATTTAGCTTCTTCTTGTTTTTTCTTTTTTCTTTTTTTTCTTTTGGTTGAGACCCCATAGTATCTTGAGCTGTCCGGCTTCAAGAAACTACTACAAAATAAAAATGAAATCCTCTCGTTCAAAATTGAGGGAGATAATTTAGCTTAGATATTTGGTTGAAACTCACGGACACTCATGACCAAACCCAAGGAGTTCCCAAACTGTTGTTCTGGGCCTCAAGACCTATCTCTCTCGGATCAGGTCCATTCAGTGAGTTTTGTCAACGTATCAATATTTATAAGGGAAAATTAGATTGGAAGTCTGTTAAATTCTAACTGATTTTAAATTAGATTTCTGTATTTTTTTTAATTAGGCTTTTATAATTTCACTTGATTTTAATAGATTTTCTTTAATTTTTTATCATGTTTTTATAATGTCATCTGATTTTTAATTAGCTCCCTGTAATTTCAGGCGACAATAAATACATACGAACAACCATTAACCACACCTTACATTTGGTTTGGAATCATATCAGGTCCGAGTCATCGATAAATACATTTTTTCTTCAAATGGACGTTGTATGGAAGTTGGAAGATGTGAAAATAATATTGTATGTTTTTTTACCTAATAAATTAAGGAAAAATAACATAAAAAGAAGTTGAAATTCTAATTTAGGCACCTAAGCCTTCAAAATCCCAAAAAAAAAGTGATACTTGATCGAGTATTTGGTAAATATAATTAACTGATAAAAATGCCTTTATATTAGAAAGTTTATTAATAAGTTGTGAACTGGTAATAATATGTACTAAATAGCACGTCGAAAGAAATGTATTGGCAATAACAAGTTATTTATTGATAAGTTGAGAACCGATAATGACAAGTCTTAAATAGCTAATGACAAAAACTATACTGACAATAACAAATTTGATAGCTTCTTTTTAAAGTATGATACAAAGGTATTTTAGTCATTTGACTATATTTGCAAAATATCAAATTAGGCACTATTTTTTCTTCTGGAATTTTGAACTCTTAGGTACCTGAATTGAAATATTATAATTTTTAACTTTTTTTTAATGCCATTTTTCCATAAATTAATATGGCATACTTTTGAACCAAAAAAAAAATACGGCATACTCTATCAGTAGTTTCGTTATTGTATAATTTAAATTATTTATAATTTGTATATCAATATATATATATATGTGTGTGTATCTCAATTTTAGACGTTTTACCCGCGTATTACACAAAATATAAACTTAAATAACTAATGGGGTTGAGTTTAACTAGCCTTTCATAATGTAACGAACCAAAATTTAAATTTTTGCTAAGAAAAATATCTATATTTAGTTGAATTGTCTCAAATAAAAGAATATGTGTGCTTAACAAAATATAAACTCAACTCATAAGATTTAATATAGACTTTATTTTATATGAATCTTGGTTTCTTGATAATTATCAAATTAAGTTATAGAATATATAGATCATGCCGCTTCCCATTTCTAGTTTCGCAAGCACATCTCTGGCCAAAAAAAAGCGAAAGTACATCCATCCATTTTCTTTTTTCCTCTTCTTCTTCTTTAAATGTCATCTTCACTCTTAGGGTCTATTTGATATGAGGAAAATTGAGAGGAGAAGAGGGGGAAATTTTTTTTAATAAAGTCGGGTTAAGAGTTTTTTAATTAATTTTTATTACTTCTTCTCTTTATTAAAATTTCAAAACCCCACTTTTCTAATTTTTTAAATAGAGCTCATTAAAATTTTCCTTTCCCTCTCTTCCTCTTCATTTCCCTCATACCATAGATCTAAAAATAAATGGATGAAATTTAATATTTTATAAAAGTACTATCTAATATTTTATTTTGATGAAAAATGATAATATTTTATAAATTTATTTATTTATTTTTTTGTACTGCAGTTATGAACTGTACATATTAAATTTAAAAATTTTAAATTTATTTATTGATGTTTATAATAATATTTTTACAAAATATTAAATATAAATAATTTTTTTTATTTAAAGGTAGATATGAGATTCTTAAAAGAAAAGGAGAAAGAGAGGGAGGAAAAAAAAAGGATGATTCAAGGAATTTAGCGTATGAAAAAAAAAAAAAATTCAAAGCAAACCTTTGAATTTTGAAGTCTGAACACTCTAATAAAGACTAAGAAAAAGTCAATTATAATTTGTGATACGCAAATGAATGATAGCTTCCTAACTTTTAAACGCATACGTTACTTTTTCCTATTTATTTTCATTACATTTCCGTTTTCATCTATTTTTTCCCATTTTTTAACAAGGCAGTAAAAATTGGTCGTTGAATATATTAAGACAATGATAGAAGGGTTAAAAGTTCACATTAGGGTGAATTCAGCGTCAAATCAGTTACGATTAAAATGAAATAATTTAATTAAAATATATAAAAATGTTCCTATATAACTTAAAGGGATAATTAATCTCCAGATCCTTATAGTTTCATCTGATTTTTAACTAAGTCTTTATAAAATTTTTTCTTTTTATCATATCCTTTTACTTTCGTGTGTTTTTAATTAGGTCTTTCTATTTTTTTTCTTTTTATCAGGTCCTTATAGTTTCACTTGTTTTTTAATTAGGTGCTTTGTAGTTTTTGAAAAATTATTTATTAACTTTATTCTTTAAAATTAATTTCATTTTTAAATTAATAATTATATAATTGGACAAAATAATTAATATAATCATTTAGTAATTAATAAAAAATCAGAATAATAATTATACTTAAATATAAATTATTTATAATCATATTTTAATTTTTGATAAATTTATTATTATAATTTGAATTTTATAATTATAAAAATTTAAATTGAAAATAAATAATATATTTGTTTAACTAAAATTTTAAAAGAATATTAACATAAGATTGTTTCAATAATTTATTATTTTTAAAATGTTATTATTTGTAAAATAAAGAATAAAAACTAGAAGGACCTAATTAAAAACAAAGTAAAATAATAAGGACTTGATAAAAAGAAAAAAAATTATAAGGACTTGATTAAAAATATATGAAAGTATAAGGATCTGATAAAAAGAAAAAAAATTATAAGGACCTGATTAAAAACCAGTTGAAATTATAAGAACTTATATATTAATTATCCAAGTAAATAAAATATTCTTGTACAAAACTACACATAATTTAATAAAACAAAGTTGCTAAAATATAAATTTGATGGACATCTATTTTTTTGAAAACTCAAAATGATGTCATTTCGTTCTCAACAAGGAAGAAAAAATAGGAAATTCAACTTGAACAACTTGTCTAAAACTTTTAATCAAATTAGTCATGAAACTAGTCCACCAGATCATTGCTGCAGAGACCAAACAAACTAGAGTTGGGTTTTAAATTAAAAACGAAAGAGAAGGAAAAGGAGAAAGAAGAAGACGGGGGAGAAGAAGCGGTGCTACGATAGAGGGGATTTTTAGCATGTACACCAGCGAAAGTATGATTTCCAAGGCAGAAGAAGCGAAGGAACCCATCCTGTAACTTGGAAGAAAGAAGTGAAATGAAGGGAAAAAAAAAAGGAAAAATTTCATTTAAGGACTGCAGTTGAGAATTTATATCAGTTAGCCTTCCAAAACATTCTAAAATATTACTGCAGGACCAAGGGACCAAACTGAAATTAAAATTAAGAGTAACATTACAATCATACCCCTCATTTTTTTTTTTTTAAAATAAATATTAATGACCGTTGGAGTTCCGGCCATTGGAGCTTAGGTGGCCACTGCTGAAGGTTGGATCTCCGGTGGCCGCTACTGTAACTCCAGTGGCCAGAAGTTTTTTTTAAAAAACAAGGTGGCCAAGGAAAGGTTTGAACTCATGACCCTTTGGCATACTAAAAGTGATGTACTTACCAAGCCAAGCAAGTCATTCAATCATGTAATGCAAATATATATATATATATATATAACAAAACAAATGCAAGTGTCAAAGTATAAGTGAAATATGACAGTATACAAGTGAAATTCAGCAATTTACAATAAAAATTTGGTAATTTACAAATAACATAATGAAATTCACAACCCTAAATGCAAGTGTTTAAATGCAAATGAGCAGGTGAGATTTGAAAATTTACAACAAAAATTTAGAGATTTACAACCCAAATTTAGCTATTCATAAGAAACATAAGAGAATTCACAAACTAAAATATAAGTATTTGAGTATAAGTGAACAAGTGAAATTCGACAATTTATAAGTGAAATTCAGTAATTTACAACAAAAATTTGGCAATTTACAAATAACTTAATGAAATTCACAATTCCAAATACAAGTGTTTAACTGTAAATGAGCATTACATAATTGAATGGTTTACTTGACTTGGTGGTTACATCACTTTTGGTCTGTCAAGAGGTTATGAGTTCAAACCTTCCCTTGACCAACTTGTTTTTAAAAAAAAAAAAACTTTCGGCTACTAGAGCTACAGTAGCAGTCACCGGAGGTTCAATCTCTGGAGGTGGCCACTTGAGTGC